AATTGGTGTTAAGGAAAACTTTTTGTTAGAGCACAAAGGATGGTTTCTTATGTCGATTTTTGAAAAAAAGCGATTTTTTTCAAAACGAACATTTTGTTGACTTTTGGCGCCGCAGAAAAAATTTGAGTTGAAATTTCATAAATAAAAATATTTACTAATATTCAATTTTCTGATAATACTAACAATTTCAGGATGGAGCTCTATTGTTTTCAAGCTGAAATAAATAGTACAGGGTTTCCATTAGCTTATCTACTTTTAGAAAATAATGGTAACTGTGACGAGGGAATATGTACTGCAGTAATTCAAGCCTTTTTCACAAGGCTACGGGAAAGAGATATCTATTCAGAATTTTTACTTACGGATAAAGATTTTACCCAAATTAATGCTGCTTACTTTACCTGGCATAATATTAAAATTCAACTATATAAATAGCATATTAAAAGAGCAGTAATGACAAGATTACAAAGTAATAAAGAAACTAGAGATGCTACCTTTAATCTATTGTCTGAATTTGGTACCCAATTTCTATTCGATGGTATCGAACAATCATCTAAATTCTGTCCCAAAAAATATCATGAAGAAATTTGGAAGATGATGGAAAAATATCTTCACCAACATCTATTAATCCCTTCGTGTGATGGTCAATTTATGACTGGAACATTAATACGAGATATTGCCATTCAAGAGACATATCATTTTTGCAAAGAAAGAGGATTAATTTCTCTTTGGCGCTATCTGTGGTGTGAATGGTATGGAGACCAATGGTGGCTATTATGGGCGAGATCAAACTGTGAAAATAAAATATTAATATTAAAAACTACTATGATTGTGGAGGGGCATTGGAAAGTCATAAAGAGAGATTTTCTCTACAAGTTTTTTTTGCTCACGCGTTGATTTAGTAGTGTATATTTTGGTTTCAAAAGTAATAACTCACCAGATACAAAAGCTACAACAAATAGTAGTTGGAAGAGAAAAACCTGAATGGATTAAAGAATTCAAATCAGAATGAAAAACACTCTCAACATATACTATTAATGAACAATATATAACAAACCTAGACCAGTGGATATGTGGATGTCCCTATTATCTTACTAGTCGTTTTGGTATTTGCAAGCATTTGGTTCAGCAAAAAGGTGCAGTTACTAGTGATTTTTTTGATCGTATTAAAAGAAATCACCAGCTTCCATTTTTAACAGAATACGACTAGGACCTTACAGAATCAATTTTTTTAGCTAGCAATATCATATATAATAATAACTCAGATGAAAATAGCGATGAGATTTATGATGAGCTAATAACCTTGATGACAAAGACATTAAGGCTTCTTGAGAAACAAAAGACAGCCGGTAGTGCTCAGTGGGTCAGAGGCGTAAAAAAGAATTTTGATCCAATTAGTAAGATGATTTATGAAGTAGAAAAATATAAAAGAAAAAGAACCTTATCTTTAACTTGGAAGGGGCATACCAACAATACATATTTTTTAAAATAATTCATACATTTCTTCATATACTTCTTTAAAAATCTTGTACTGTATATACTTTAATAAAAATCACGAAAATTAATAATTAATTAAATTTTAAAATTAATAACGATAAAAAAAAAAAAACAATTTTTTATTAGTAAATCAGTATATTAGTTAGAAGTATTCGTATAGTATTTGTGTGTTATTTTTGATTGGCTAATTTTGTCAATCATCACGTGAAAGTAAAAAATTTGTTGACGCACCAGGAGAAGTCTCTAGTGATCATCATATCACGTGAAATCTTGTAATTACGCCATTTGTTTACTAGCACTAAACAAATTAGCCTAAACTATACTATCACCTAACCCTAACACTAACCCTAATGTAGGCCGAATGCTTAATCATGTGATGTGATTATCATGAAGATATCACTGGGTTCCTTGATCTTCAAACTTCCCTAGGGTTTATTGTTGGATTTGCTGAGTTGTTTAGACCCGAGCCTGTGTGTGACATAGTTTCCTGACGAGTTACGGTCTAGAACCGATATAGACCTCTTCAAACGATTAGAATATATCGATATGTCGTTACTTATTGTTGTGTTGCTTAAAAAAGGCTTGTTTTTGATTCACCCCAAAAACGTGATTTTTACGATTATTTTCTGCCGTGATAATTGGTTAATGTAATTTCTATTGATAAATTCTGCGCGGTTTTACATATCACTAGGGACAATTTTTCCCAATTGCTACGATGATACTAATTGCATAGTCTCGTTCTTTTAATATTTTAAATTAAAATAGAAGTTGATTAAATAAATAAGAAAATCTTATTATTTATTCAATCATCGTAAAATAACTACATAGTCTATTTTTGTGTCAATACATTATTGTTCTATTAATGAATAATCTAATTTACTAGATTCTTATCTGTCATCTTCCAATAATTCTCTTGGTAAAAATGTCCAAACAGTTCCTAAGGAAGCCATGACAGAACAAATAGCTAATAATAATATATTCCAAATTATTTCTTTCTTTGAAAGATTTCTACCAAACATTTTTAAATGACATAAAAGTGGAAATATTGAAGATATTAGAAATGAAAAACATGAACCGAGAAGTGACTTTTAACATGGTTAGCAAAAAAATAAAAATCATAAAATTAATTAGATTAACAAGGATAAAAAATAACGAATTTTAATTATATATTTGAATACTTACCATCGCACGATCAAACCCAGGAAAAATAATCGATGTTCCGATAATAACGAAACTAACCAAAGATCTTGAAAGAATAATGAATAGAAACCTTATGATTTTTGATCTAAATAAGCCAATCATATTTATCCGAAAGGCTGTTACTTCGATACTTAGGTTAATTGGTGTTAATGTGAGTGGATACTTAGAAAGCGGGTTAATTACAATTAACCATACTAAAATGGAATTTAGAATGAGACTATATCCTTTAGTCGACATTATATTTTGAGTAACCTACGTATATTATATAAATATTTTAAAAAATAATCAATTAGAGAATAAGTAAATAAATGATATAATAAATACCTCTTGCATCGTCTCAGACCCAAACATTAAATACCCACAAATTGAGACGGTAATATAAATAACACCGGAAATCAAATAACTAGAATTCACCATTTTTTTATAATGAGAAGGTTTTGCCATATCACGATATAACGATGGGAAAACAGCGTGACCAGAGAAAGCAGAATTGATAAGACCAAACGCCAAAGGTACAACCATCCAATTAGGTGGTAAAAGACATGTATCCGTAGGCTTCCAAAGACTCCCAGGGGCTTCAAATTTAGTCAGACCATCGAATAATAACACCAAGGCCAACGAAGACGCAGTAAAAATTCCAAGGATCGAAGTGTATGAAAGATAATGTATTGGTAACCATGTTACCGGAGTAATCACAAGAAATACTATGAGTTTCAGATGTGTTAGATCTACTTGAGGGAAAAGTATCTTGAGCGAATCGCCAACCAAGATCATCAAAGCGACACTAATTATATAAATACAGTAATTAATTTGCTAATATACATAATTAATATGAAATCTATTTTAGGAAGCTAAAAAAAAAAAAAAAAAAAAGAACTTTACGCGGCGTTATAAAGATCCATTAGGAATATAAAGCCAACGATAAACCTTCCTTTGGGTCCGTAGACTAAACGAGCAATATCAGCATATGTAAGACATTCTAAATCAGTGTCTAAACATTTTTTGAGAACTTTGGCGGTGTAATTCGTCGATACAAGACAAAACGAAAATATCGAAATTCCCAAGATCCATCCGGAATATTTAAATGCCAAAGGCAACGCCAATATTGCAATCCCCATCAATATATTCTTTTTTTTTTAAATTAAAAAAAAAATAATAATAATAATAAAAAATTATTGGAATTTTGAAATTTTCATGTATTATTAAAGACTTTTTTTTTACTTACCACCGCGTTAAAAATTGTTTGCCTAACAGTCGACTTTCCAAGATTCATCAAACTACGATAATCATTTGCATCTTCTAAAGTGCCGAAGTTAGTATGATGTTGACTTATCAATCGAGTTCTTTCGCTTTCAATATCTACATCTTGATTATTATTATTCACAACTTCAGATTGATCGGTTAACAATGAAGAACGGCGAGGATTATGCCTTTCATAATCATTGTTCCTATCATGTTGATAATTATGAACCACGTGAAAATTTAAATTTTTGTTATCAATGTTGGAACCATGATATTTTAGACTTCTTGTTATCGAAAAAAACCATGATTTTATTAACAACGGCATTGAGATGTGTAAGTTATTTGTTATTGAAAAAATAGAAAACATAGTTGGGATAGTGCTTGCATTGGGTTGATTTAAAGAAGAATAATTTGAAGGTTGGCTCATCTTTTTTAACTTTTAATTTAGATATTTTTTAATTTATTTAATTATAGTTAATCTCTTGCCTTTCCTGGAAGAGCGAGAATTTTCTAGTGAAAATTTTATTCTTTAAAACTACCCTTTATATAGGATGTTATGGAATTATTGCATCAACGTTAGCATTACGTCAAATTTGATTTGATCTGATTTGTAATAGCATTGCGATTTATATTAATCTAAATTAAAAGCTTGTTACCCTACATTTTCGTCTGCAGAAATGAATTATTTAATTTAGCGTTAGGTTTTCACGTAGCAGATTTCGTCCCGGAAATTTTGATATTACGTAATTTTGCATGTAAAGTTTGTAAGCACTTAGCTCTTTACTTGCAAGTTTTCATTCTGTAGCGTCATTTGTTGAATTTATAGCTTTATTTTATCAAAGTTGCAATTCTATAAAATTTAAACTTAATATTGTATAAATTATTTACGAAAATATATACAAAGCTACTTTAACTTTTTAATAACAAAACTAATGAAATTTAACATGGGAATTATATTATCTATTTTTCATAATACTTTGATCTTCTAGAATAATAAAGTTTTTTTCTTTTCTTTTCGATTCTATTCATTTTTTAGATGGAAATTTAATTTCTTTATAAACAAGGATAAAAGATATGATGAAGAAGTTATTTTATGGTGCGCAGTTATGTTAATGAATAGAAAGGTTATGTTTATATGATTTATATTGCAGCAGGAGGTAATATTTTATGTAATAATAAATTAATAGTGATAAGGTAGCATATTAGTAGCAGAAAAGTTTGTGATCTGAACCTTTCAATGCAGTCGAAAAGCTTTATATAAAATTTATGAATTTTATGAACTGAATATTAAATATTTAATGTATTATTAATAAATTAAAAGTAACAGCTTAAGTTAATAATTTGATATGTTAAGTACATACATGTAAAGGTGAGAGTTTATATTATTAAAATTAAGTTAGTTCAAGTTTGTATAATATATCGATGTGTAAAAATGCGAAATTTAAGCAATAAACTTAGCTTCTTAACTTTTTATGTTTCTAGACTTCTCTTCAAGTAAAAGTCAAGGTTTATACGATTTTGTTCTAAAAAAAATCATGAGCACAAAAAGTTATTTATTATCTTGTTTTATTTTTCGATTATTTGATCGTGTGTAGGTCAGAAACGCCAGCGATCATCCGATCTCGAAATTTTCTGTCGCCACTATATTGCCTGTAGTGGTAAAAGTGTGATAATTACTGTATTTATGCGAATTAACGCTCATAAGCATTATTTAGAGACATGCAATTTAAAGAGAGCTAATGATTAATTTATCTATAGTTTTTTGTTATTAAAAGTCTTCGGCTAATGAATTATTAGCTCTCTTTGAATTGCATGTTTCTAAATAACGTCTATGTGCGTTACTTCGCGTAAATACAGTAATTCTAAATTTATTGATATGAACTATATTTTGTTATTAAAATTATTTAAATATTAACTTACATAAGATCTTGTGATCTAATTTTGATTAGTTATTTATGTTAAATGTATGTTGATTAGCTGTTTAATAAAATATATGTATATAAATATGAGATCGTGAATTAAGATTGTTTTTTTTTTTATTTTTTCAGTATATTACGAACTAAAATAGTCGTTTTATTTAAATTTGAGTTGTTATTTCGGGGTAACAGCGTTGATATGAATTTAATGTATAATAAATTATTTCCTCGTTTTTGGGCCTGCTTCAATTTATCGGTTAGTGTACAATTTTGTTATGAAAGAAAGATGTGTATTTTTATTTTATTTCATTTTTTTTCGGATTATTAGTTTAATTTTACATTTTTAAAGATTAACGAATAAAAGTTTTTTTATTTATAGTATGTGTATTACGAATGCGTCTTAACGTGCAAGTTTAACTATTGTTGTGATCTGAAGAATAAGGAAGATGATAGTAAAAGCGAAAATATAATGGAGTAGAAGATAAGTTTGTAGATTGACATAGGATAATAAATTATGAATTAAATTACATTGAAGGTTTTGGTGAATAGTAAGCTGTATAATAGGAACTTAATTTTTTTCATTATTGAGCAAATTGATTTAATCCACGGTTGTGTAAGGAAATTAGTCATTTGTATTCAGCATTTACAGCTGAATCTGCCTTGACGGCATTTAATTCAAATGATGTAATATCCAAAGAGTTCCAGGTTGGAGCTCTACTAAATGCAACATATGCTTGACCGTTTGCGAACATTTGATCGTTGATTGATATAGAGACATGAGGTATTGTCAAACCTTGGGTTTTGTGTATAGTAAGTGCAAATGCGTTTTGTAATGGAAATTGATGTCGACTAACGGGCACGCCATTTAAGTAAAAGTATTTGGTCGTTTTTTTTATAGTTGTGGTAATAATTGTTTGTGATGTTGGAAATGCGGCTTTTACTGTGTTCTCATCTATTATATCAGTAATAATTCCAATCGAACCATTGCAAAGGCCGTGTTCAATTAGATGATTATCTAAATACATAATACAAGCACCTTGTTGTAAAATTAAGATTGAGGGCAAGTTTGTATTATGACGGAAGTGATGATTATTTTCTGTTGGACTCCATTCTTGATTGTTCACATAATCTATTGCTATCGAGACAGTAGATTCAAATCCTTCTGAGTTTAAAGGTAAAGATGAACAAGCTCATTTGTTTATATTGTTTGCAATATTTCGAAATCCAGCAATATGTGTAGTGTCTAGTGGGGTGCATGATGGATTTCATATTTTTTCCTCAATTTTTTGTAATATAGTAGGTGAAATATTGGCAACACAAATTTCTTCTAAAATTTTATAAAAGTCAGGATCTTTATTGTATCTTCTTGGAGTTGTTAAAAATAAGGGATAGAATTTTTGCCAGACTGAAGAGTGAAAGACCTGGGTCCATTTACTGGTGGTAGTTGTGAGAGATCTTCAATTAAAAGAACTCTAATCCCGCCAAATAGTAGGGAGTTATTGTGTAAGTGGGCAAAAAGACTGCTGATGAAGGTTAATAAACTTGCTAAAACCATACATATTTCATCAATTATTATAACATCAATTTGTGAAAGTCGTTGGCGATACTCTTGTTCATATAGTGCTAAGCTTTCAAAATTAGCTGCTGTTGGGTGAATTTTTAATTGTGAGTGAATTGTTTTGCCATTGATATTAAGAGCTGCAATACCCATTGGTGCTATTACTAGGAATTTTTTGTATTGTGATCAAAGGTGATTTATAATTAATTTTATTAGATGTGATTTTCCAGTGCCTGCTGGGCCAGTTAAAAAAAAATAAGGATGACCATGCTCGCCAACTTTTCCCCAAGCTGATGTTAACATATTAAATATTATTAGTCAGGAGGTGTTTCAAATAAAGATTGACAGGGAACTGGTAGATGAAAGTTCATTAAGTTTTCTAGTTGGTCGCGAATTGCTAATGTAATATCTTGAGGCATGTTATTTACAATTTTATCTATTGTTTGTTGATAGTTACATGAGAATCTAAGAAATTGAGCATTTGAAGACTGACGAGTGAGTTGTATAGATCTCGCGTATTGTTCAGGGAACTTTACTTGGTAATGTTCTCGATAGTTAGAGTATTGATCAAGTATTTCATGCTCAGCTATCCAGAGAAAGTTAATAATTGTTGGTAAAAAAATGGTTCTCTGTCATCAGCAGTTAATCTATGAAGTCGAACTAAAATAGGTTTTTTTCTTTTGATTATGAATTTTCCATGTTGGTCGATCCAAAAATTTGTATTTGAATTTGGTCAGTTAAGCTGTATTCGATAATACTTATGGTAGTCAGAATATGTAATATTGTCAAAGTGCGTATCATTTGGCATTTTCTCAGTAAGGATTTAAGTTATTTTCTTCTAATAGATAAATAGGTTTTACTAATCTTGATTTTATGTTAGGTGGTAAAGATAATAAATATTAAACTGCAATTGAAGATCAGCAGATCGAATATCCAAGTAGAAGGATTATTAGTTCTATAGAACCTAGCCTTCGAGCTAGGATGTGAGAACAGTAAGTATTATATTCTCTTAGGCTAAATAGTTCAGGTTGTTCCAGTTTGGTGATATACTTAGTCATATATTTCATGAAAGATTTAGAAGAAACGTATTGAAAATTACAATAACCTTGCCATAACAACAGGGTTAGTGCATGATAAGGAATGACCCATTGATCTTTTTCTTTTGTTCTATGATAAATATAGTGCAGTGAAGATGTGTTAAGATAAGTGTATTCTGATAATTAAGTGAGAAATTTTTTGCTACATTGTTTGCTAGGAAGAGGTGGTCCATTACATTTATCAGGTTAACAATGATAGATTTGATAGGTGCATACTAAATCATAAAGGATCAATTCGGTTTGTGGATCGAGCAAATCAGCTCGAATAATATTGTTAACTATTAACATTGAGGTTAGTGTGTCGAGAAAAGTTTTTTCTATAATAAATTACAAATGGAATTTAGTTTATGGTAATAATGAAAATAGGTATGTACAGAATGATTTGTTGGTATAGTAGAATGATCATCAGTGTGAGATAAAATTTTTTCTAAATGACACTAACATCTTTTGGCTATAGTCATAGTATAAAAAATTTGAGGTAATTCAAGATTTTGAACCTTGTATTGATCACATGCTCACATTAATGAAAATAAGTATTTTCTGTTCTAATATTGAAGGAATTGTGGTTGTTAAAGTTTTATTTATGATTTGATGATTATTATAGATACTGTGATCAATTAAATCTGTAGTAGTCAAGAGTTGTTGACAATTTATAGTTTTTTTGGAATACAATATGCTGCTTATTTTTTTGATTTTTTAATTTTTCTAGATTTATATAAGACTAATATAGCCAATACTAATGAAGTTTAAAGTGTGAATCTGAGCATAACATGTATAATTTGATATATTTACAATATGTATTGATTTTGTGCCTGTAATCTGCTATATTATTTAAACCCTCTGGTATCCTTATGCAATTCAATTTTAACCTAATATTTAATCTACACTAATCCTATTGTCAAACGGGGAATTCACCTCTTCTAGAGTTCCCAGAGACTTGCTGATTATAGTATGAAGACTATAACTTTACAGCTTGTTATATGGCATCTAGAATTAAGACTTAACAAAGAGGTTTTTGTAGTGATTTATGTTAGGGCTAAGAGGCAAATAATAAATAGTA